GAATCAAACCAAGGGTCAATGATTATACAAGGGTCGCACTGCATGAATACATTCTGTTTATTACATTTCATTCATTGTTATCTTATTACTATGTTTCCCTGTCCTTATTTTGGGATTCATATCGATGGCAGCACTGCCTAAATACTAAATCTAAAAGCGTAATAACCACCAATCTTACAGTTGAAGAAATTCTAGATTATATAGCAGGATATGTTTTCAGAAAAATTTATCACAGTGAAGGAATTTCAGCTAGTCATAAACTCATATTGTTAAAAAAAAATTATGCTTACGAAAGTGACAGAAAGAAAAGATTTCACAACAAAACATGCTTATGGGGAACATTGGAATGGCTATCTCAATACATGCAAGCAGCTGAAATTAATTTCCATCATCACATCATTGAACATCTGACACTTGATAAAGAAGAAAAACATTTTCAAATCATTCATGAGCGAATACCTCAATGTAATAAACAATGCAACTGAATGTCAAGATGTAACAACACTACTTGAAAAAGTATTCAACAAATTAGAGCGAATGTATAAGCAAAGTACTGCAGCCAAAATAATAACAACAAGATGAACAATAGGATTCGTGGAATACGAAAACAATTAAAGAAAAACAGCAGCTAAAACGAAGATTAAGATATATGTGATTACAGTCAAGTTTTTGTACTTCTGAAGCATGCGCTCTGAGAATTGGGGACACCGGAAAGTAGTGTGTATGCCGCAATAGGGTTGGGCCATTTCCAATTTTTCTTATCTCAGTTCTACTACAAGTTCGGAGACTAACCAAGTGAGTTTTGTGGTATTTGTACCTAAAATTATGACCTAAACCTAATCGGGTACACATATGATGTTCCCAGTGGCGGCGCGTGGTCATTTTGACAACCGGGGCAAGCTACTGCGGGACCAAGTCACCCCCATCTACGGGGACAGGATGAGCGCTGTAAGTTCTCCCATCATTTTATGAGTATAAAAACTATTCCATCGGTAACAACCAATCGGCAAAAGCGACAATTTTTAACGATAAGAAAGTGTCTTTAAAACCGGTCCAAGTCAAGGGATTAATAAATATAGACATAGTTTATTTTGAAACCTCTTTCAAAAGGAAAGGCAATATTTACCCAGATAATTACAATGACATATTAACAGAAACTTCGGGAAAGCAGACAAAACCTAAAATAAGGTTTAAAACTTTACTATGAAGAAAGGAAAGTTAATGCAAAGATAAGGACATGCGTCGCTCACTTATAGATATATATGCAACACGCCGCGGTTTCTTGGAAGCAAAATGCTCAATAACGCGCTGATTAAAGTCATGCATCCCAGAAATAACGTCTCTGTGAATGGATAAAACAGCCAAGGAATTTAATCTATCTTGCTTCATTGTGTTTCTGAGATACGTTTTAATACGCTTCAGCGTGCTGAATGTTCGCTCTGCGTCGGCGGAAGAAATAGGCGTCGTCAAAATGATGTCCAGAAATTTTGCAGACGCCGCAAAGGTAGTTACTAGAGTGTTATCTATGAGGAACCCATAGAGCGCGCAAGGTGATGTGATGTTCAAAAAAGTTTGATTGGTGTATATACATCGCAATTCATTTTCCAATTTGCTCTCGTTTATCATGGGGTAATATTTGGAGACAGTAGCCAACAAATGGATGGGAAATTGACGTGCAAATTTTGAAAAATTTTAGGGTTTCATCAAAGAGAACGCGGCAAGGTGTTCAGTGCGCCGACGATCGCCTATTTGATTCACCAGAAAATCACAGCATTCCTTTGCAGACAAAATCAAACGCTGCGTTGTTTGCCCGCGGCGTAAAGAAGCACTCCATGTGTCGTCGTATTTTATTGTTTCCCGGATACGAGATACAGCATCGCAGAAGTTTGAAATACACGACTGCACAGACGCTCCATCCATTAGCCTTGACTGCAATGCGCCGTATAATACATCAACGTGATAGAATATTGTGGAGAAAAAAGCGAGAAAAAATGAAAACTCACCATCTTCTAGCAGACGCTTTAGACCTGCCGCCTCCCTCACAGAGCGTTCGTCCCAAACCGGAGAGCTCTGAATGCCATTGAAACACTCAATGAGCTCAGACCTAATTTCGGACACGCCCTGCACCACGCGTGATTGGAAGTTCCAACGTGTTGGTGCACAAGCTGGGAGACGGCGGCTACATATCTGGCGAAGGAGGTCAGAGCGTTTCGGCGAAACGGAAAAAAAGAAAACCCCGAAACATTTGCAAAAAATATACGGACGAGAGGGGTATCAAGACACATATTTTTAATAACGAGGTTAAATTGGTGTGCATAACAATGTTGGCCCTATTGACGCGCCGCCACTGGATGTTCCATTGTCCGCATCTTGGTACACGTACTTCTGGAGTACCCAAGTTTTTTTCTTAATAATCCATAGAAATACGAAATATTATTTTAATTATTGATGTGATTAAACATTGAATATCGAGTAATGTTAAAAGTGGTATTGATGTTTTTTGAGGCTTTGGGAGTGGGTCTTAGTGAGGGTAAAGAGGCAATTTAGGTTCTATCACATGCACATTGCCACATATTTCTTTGAGTGATCGCTGCTTTTCAATCAACTTCTCATTATATGTGAACTGGATGGTGCGATGGATTCTCCTGATTAAACTGAAAATCTTTTGGTGGTTTATTCAATATTTAGGGTCAGGGGCATATGGGGGGAGGTTTTTAGTTTGCAAGTTAGACCAAAACCCCTAGGTCTGACAGATGTTTGGTCTCGTATGGTATATTTGGAGCCCTCCATACGTTGGAGAAGCAATGAAATGTTGTTGTTTTTTATCCTATAACAGAAACATAGGAGTACAAAATGAGTAGCATGCAGCTGTATAGCATTTATTTTGTTAAAAAATCCTCGGACTAATCATGTTTTCATACCGTCCTTACAATTGCAGGGTGTTATCGTTCACAACATATCTTTTTTGCCGAAAGTTTTAGTTCTTCAATCAAAAATTTTCATTGATATGGCTGTATGGTGTAAGTTGATTCTGATTTTTGAGATAAATCATCACCTGTTAGTTTGTCAATTTATATCCTTGCTTACTGCTCCACAGCATAAATCCTCACACTGCAATTTTTTTATGATCCTTTTCTTCCTGAAAATATACATATTAGGATACATAATATCTTGATCTCTTATCAAAATTTACATTCCTTGACAAATCATTACTGTATTGGCTACCTAGGACATTCACAACTTGCACTTTTATGCTGAACAATCGTAGCACAAAGTGATTCTCTACTACATCTACTCATTGGAGCCTTAAAATGAATTTAGAATCTTCAGATCTTACTGTCATTTGTCAACACATGCTTTCAGGTGGTCGGGACCGGTTCTAGGGCCTTCCCTCTCAAATTATTGCTCTTCTATTTTGTTTTGTAATCTGCATTCTATAATAAAATCTTTATTAATGTTGATGCACAACTAATTTGAATATTTATAAAGCCACTGACTTAATCTTGTCGTGAGACAAGGCGTCAGAACACAGGAAAACGCACAATGATTTTGAAAGCAATAATCTGTCTGCGCCTAGTCGGGCGTGACGGTGAATCCAACATCGGGACCAAATATCGGGAGTTACACGGGGTTGGTTTTACAACCTACGGTACATCACGCAATACAACTTAGACGTAATTAATATTCGTCCTGCCTTGAGACTAAAAGGGTATTCGCCGATTGAGCGGGCTGAATTGAGTGAAATATTGGAAGGAAATTTTGGCGGGATGAAACGGAACCACTATTAACTGAAGTTGAGGAAGGAGGTCTATGGAAGGCGTCCCGTTGGACATACAACAATACGCCAACAATACGTCGCAACACAGCTGCATATTATAGTTTACTAATATTGAGTAGCCACGACACACCTAGTCCAATATATGCCAGTCTTGCCAGGTAGTTGTAGATGTCACAGAACACAGAATAAAGCAGGCGGCAGTTAATCCATACTACGATTTTTTTATTGAAAATTAATTCTTGCCGTTACTTGGTTGGGATGGGATTGTGACATATAGGAAGAGAGCGAATAAAATGATCTAATCATGACAGTTTAATTTCGATATAGAGATAGTCATTTTACCAGTTAGTTTTTGTAGGTGCATGAAATTAATTGAAATTGCCTTCAATTGAGCTGGTGATTTGTATTAATAATACTAAACATTGTCTTGCATTGCGATATTGAGCGTTGTAGGCGTTGGTTCTGTCGTTTTCAATTTGCCAACTCACTAAAATTGTAAAAGTTTCGAACTTATTTTTGTTTTTGAACCTCCGGCGATTACCGTAATAAAATAAGCTCGTATATTATTATTTATTTTGTTGGTATCGCAGTCCAGTGATAATTTTCTTTCCATACCCTTGATGTTTGTATTTGATTCAAGTAAATAAATAACATTTCATTACCAGGTTTTATTTTGATCATTCTTTCGTGTCCAAATTTAGTACAAAATATTATGCCAAACACCGTCGGATGGCATATACTCAGTATTATTTAGCCTAGTCCAACTCTAAAAGGTGTTAATGGTGTTTTACAGTCAATGTTCTATAGTAGAGTCGTATATTTCATGAAAAAACATTTTTTGCATGGAGGGGGGCGTGTGCACTAATAATTAGAGGTGTGACTTCATCAAAATAGTCAATTGAAGCCTTGAACTTAAAAATTCTGTGAATACAAATGTGAATTTTAGAGTAACCATTCTTGCTATAATAGTGATTCTTGTGTTGTTCTGTTGGAAAATAACACAAGAAAACGTGGAAATAGGAATTAATTAATAAATATTAACCCTCTACTAGACACAAAATCTCGCAAGTTCAATAGAAATTTTGAAAACTTTGGCGTAAAGAGGAGTGCGTTTTACATATATTGCTGAATAGAGCTCTATCACACGCTATTATACTGCATTATTAGATTGTGATAGTTCACAGATTAAACATCTCTCAAATAAACTAAATGGCCATCTGATATGTCAAAAGAAAAGGAATTATTTTGTGAAATATGTGGAAATGGCTTGAAAACAGCAAGTAACTTAAAAATGCATATGAGAATTCATACTGGAGAAAAACCTCACTCTTGTAGGATATGTGGAAAATGTTTTGCACGATCCAGCAATCCGAATGTTCATAAACGAAGTCATACAGGAAAGAAACTAAGGCCATTCTCCTGTGAAATATGTGGGAAATGTTTTTCATCAAAGTCTGATGATTTGAAACGTCATATGCAAATTCACGCAAAACCACAATCAAGATATTTTTCACAATCAAGATATTTGAACACGCACATGCGAACCCATGACAAGCAATTCAAGACAATGACAAGCTCATGTGAGATATGTGGAAAATGTTTTTCACGACCTTGGAACTTGAAGAGACATATGGAAATTCATAATAAGAAGAACATTATGACTGTGAAACATGTGGAGAGCGAAAAAGATGTAAAAAAGTCGATGTGTGATATGAAAAGTCAGAAAATGGGTGCCGAGTGAAATGGAGTGGTGTGTGACATGACAAGACATGAATAAATTCTAGAATCTAGGTCTAAAGTATGTAAACGTTTACAGAAGTAGATACTCTCGACGACATGCATGATTCACGTCTGAGAAGAGCCAGGCTTGTCCTTGCATGATGAAAGTTTGATATGTGTGAATGTATATATATTTTTCACTTTTCTTGGCCATATAAACCAAATAATACATTTTGGCAATTGTGTCTTTAGTTTCCCATTGTGTAAAGTGTGTACGTTTGCAGTTTTCTCGTCCAGTTGGCATAAATTGAATTTGAAATTCATTTAATGGTTTTATTAAACTTCATTCATTCTAATTGGCTCGCATTCGTCATGTTTTCCGGGTTAGCAACAGCAAGATTAGCTCTATCATATGAGGACAAACTGTGGCCATAAAAGATTCATCTTACTCCTCTTCGGAACTTCCATAGGTTAATTTTAGGACCACGATGTACTAATCGGACTATACATGTGATTCTTTTGGTACCAAAAACATGTTGCGTCTGCGTATCAAAACTTGATTAATTGGAGGAAGATTCGTCATTTTTTGTGCATTACAACACAATATGCAAAGTTTAAAAGAATAATATTCAATACACATTTAACTGGGGAACGGAAGCCACTGGGATCCAAAGCTGGCTATCAAGCAGCGACACCCACGGTTAGAATATTCAATTAGATATTACAAGTTACATTTTATGTTGTTGTTATTACTGACGAGCGATGCAACCAACATTGCGGAGTACAAGTTAGATGTTTGTTTCCCCGAAAATAAGACTTGGTCTTGTTTCAATTTTCTACCAAAAAACAACACTAGGGCTTATTTTCGGGGGATGTCTTATATTTTCATTTATCAAAAACAAAATTCAACGATATCGATTTACCTGTAAACAACATGTTTTATTCAAAATAACTGCAAAACATAGATTATCAATCATCATAAAACGTGTAGGAGAGATTTCTTGCTATCGACTAGTTCGAAAAAAAAAATTCGTTATTGACTATAGGTTTTGTTTTAAGGGAAGGGCTTATATTAAAATCATTTTTAAAATTCAGGCTAGGTCTTATTTTCGGGGAAACAGGGTAGATGGATGTGATCTAACACTAGGGCCCTTTTTCGAGGAATGTCCTTTATTTTCATTTATCGAAAACAAAATTACGAAGTAGAGAATTACGAGATTTCAAATATACAAATTAGGAAAACTGATATGATTTACAATTAAATTTACATATAAATACCACTTTTTGGTTCAAAATATATTGACGCGTTATTGACTAGGTCTTATTTTAAGGGGAGGTTTATATTGAAATCATTTTAAAATTCAGTCTAGGTCTTATTTTCTGGGAAACACGATAATCAACATTTAGCCTGCTTTGAGGCTGAAAGAGTATTACCTGATTAAAGAGCTGCATTGAGTAACATAATGAGAGAGCTGAGCTGAGAGAGAGCTGGAGTCGGAAGTTACGGTACCGCTATTAAGTAAAGTCGTTTACTTTAAGTGATGAGGGTGTTTTGGAGGCCACACGTTACACACACAATACGGGGAAATATTGCAGTAAAACAGGTATAGCAATATTTCGAATTGAAAGCCAATTAGCCTTAGGTCGGGTCTGGTACCGGTACCCTACCAGCTATCTACCAGAATCAATAAATACAAATGGCCATAATGTAAATTTGATAGATTGAAAATAAACGAATCATAAACCAACTCTACGAGAGCGTTCAAATATCATGAAATCGAAATTAGTTGTTGATCAATCAATCAATCATTCATTCGTCATCACGAAAACATCAAATGCACAAAAAAATGGTACAGGGAAACAAGAGAGCTACGCCCAAATATATGGACACGTCTGTCGCAGTACAGTACGGTTTACCGTACCGTCTCATCACAGTCTACAAATATATTCACACCAAGCGAAGCAGTACAGTAGGACACGAAATGGCGTCCGATGTCCGCAGAACGTTTAATGACGTCATAGCAAACAAAAACAAATCTCACAGAGCTAACAGAAATATTTAAAATGAATAACAGTAATAGCCTTCTGGGGAAAATTTTTATCTTCAACCACTGACAATTTCAAAGCCATTGGTCCAGTATTCGAAGAGAAAAGCGATTTTTTTAAAAATGATGGGACAAATAATAATAACAATAACAACAAAATTTTGAAACGATCGTTATGTCCACTACGTGTCCAAAAAATATAATGATAATGATAGTTGTGCGACAGGATTCGCGAGGCTTCATGCGTCAATTTTTGTATTTCGTGTTTCTAATTTATTAATCAGTGACGAGCGTTTTCTCTCGCGACGAAATCTTACTCGTTTGATTATACAGTACTTGGGTTTTCTCACAAATAACCCGCAAAAGCGGCAGACATCAAACGTAATACCAGCTTGCATATCCAGGACGCGAAGACGGGGTTATTGCACCATATTTACGTTGTTACTATCTAGCTTGATTATAATAATAATTGACATTGCAAATCACAAAATTTCGGGTGCTACCGTAGTATGCATACCAGGTCATTTCCCCTTAGGATTCTTTGCTTTCCGGCCTCCACATTAGTACGTACAGTACTGGAGCGCCGTAAGTGTTGTACGAACAGCTCAGATTTGTCGAATTCACAAAAATACGAATCAAAACACAATCGGGCTCTTTGCCACGCATTTTTGTGTCCACGGATTGTCATGATATTTTCTGAGTAGTATTGCTTTTATTTCGTCAACACAATTGCAGATTAAAATGATCACAATTTAATTAATAATAATAATGAAGCAAGGCGATGAATATGTATTTTTGATTCACAAATATACTTTAAATATATTTTTAATAAGTTCTAAATCAAGTTGTACTTTTTGTAAATTTATAGCAGTAGGATTTTTCTTACGGCGATAACAAATTCGCAAGATTGCAAAAAATATGTATCAAAACTAGATATAATCGGGCAATATATTCTCACATTATTATGTTCGCAGATGGCCGTGGCATTCTAAAGAAGTAATGCTTTCATCTTGTCCTAAGTCGACGCAACCGCGAGTTACCAAAAACACAATTCAATTAAAATAGAAACCACTTTAAATTCTCGTGGTTGTCATGATTGAATATTGTGCGACATAAAAACCAATTATACACTAAACAAGAGAGCTACGCACAAATATATGGACACGTTAGACCAGAGCGAATCAGTCCTTACCGGTACCTTTGACGCTACCGGTACCCTCAAAAAAGTTCTGAATTTACAGTAGCAAGAATTTTGCAGAATCAAAACGTACAGCCAGTCATGACACTGACTAAAATCCGTGTTCCCATGAATAAAAAATGATACAGCAAAATTTTAGACGGAATATCAAATTTCATAGAATTCACGCAAAATTTTGAAATAAATAAAAGTAATAGCCTTCTAGCGAAAAAGTTAATCTTTAACCACTGAAAATTTCAAAGCAATTGGTCCAGTATTCGAAGAGAAAAGCGACTTTTTAAAAACGTGTCAAAGAACAACAACAACAACATAATATTGAAACGATCGTTATGGCCACTAAACGTGTCCAAAAAGCCGGCTCTTTTAACGAACGCTTAATTGCGGCGAATTTCCGACTTTGAAAATCGTTAAAAATTCTGTTGTGTTTGGTTTTATTGCTTCTTCACACAAAGTACGGTTGCAATAAACGCACCTTGAGTCCGCAAAGGTTTTCGCCGGTGATAAAATAGTCCGCGACCAAAAAAGGTTGGGAAACGCTGCTTAGATGTTAAAACATTATTTGCGATTAATTTAGATCAAACTTTGTTTTTTACGACATCCCGTTTCCAAAAATACAAAGTTATATCGCAAAACAAGGCATTTTGTTACATTTATTTTGCACTCTCAATAAAATACACATTTTTCGAAATTCAAGTCGCTGCTGAATCCGTTCCTATCGTCAAAGCTCGACACATGTTTGGTCGAGTGCCGGCGACAGTGTTCACTATTAGCGCACTTTTTTGCGAAAATTGCGAAACACTTTCGCAACTTTTTTTAGGGACTGCGAAATAGCACTTTTTTCCGATTTTGAAGAGAAAAAGCACTTTTTTCCGATTTTGAATGGAATAAAAATTCAAAGTTAACAAATATTTTCGAGTATTAAGTTGACAAATAAGTAACATACTAGTACTTTTGTAACTCAATTCTGCATATCATAACGATATTTATCGGAATTCTAACCTATGAGATGCAGACAAAGGAGATAAAGCTTTTGCATTAACGGCAAAATTCTTGTTTATAATATGATTATTATACAAGCACACCGATTCCGCTTCTCCCGCAAAAAACGCTCCCGGGTGTTTGAAACCAGATGTTGGAATACTAGGCAGTGCGTTTCTTTGAAGGTCATGTGACTATCAATGATATCGATGAATTCAAAATGACTATAAAAGTGTTAGTAACGGTTATAGTCACTTTGGATGAATTGTGACCAAACTGCACGATTTTCAAATCAGACGAAACTTTTAGCAGCATGTCACAGATTTGCAAAATCACCAAATTCACAAAATACCATTAAGTGCCATTTTATTGTAATCACAATGTTGAAAGGACGTGGCAATGGTGGCATTTTCCGGAATTTTTCGATATTTACACAACTATTTCTCATTGATATGCGAGGACAGGTGGGCAAAATTCAATATTTTTTTGAATCGAATATTTTTAAGGAGTACCGAATAAACATGGTGGAAACATTAAAAAATCGGCAATAAAGCCTTTTTACTAGTTAATTCCTTTGTAATGGCTAATTGTTCTTGTCACCGATCGTTTTGGCGGCGATATCCAGGTTTTGGGTAATCTATATTCCCGCCCTCTCTTTTTTACAAATATGAATTCTTGTGGGGCGGCGGTCATCAAAGTTTTATATTTCGGGTTTACCCGTTCGTTCACATCGGCAACAGCTGTTGAAGACATTGAGGACTCAAATTAACAATTGCGTTGGCTTTTATATTACCTATCAAG